TGTGCATACCTTCTTGGCTCTGAGCTTGAACAATATGAATGATTAGCATCAACAAAAATCCAAGAGACCTCTCCATATTCTCTTAACTACCAGGGAATAGTCAAGAAAACCAATGCCTAGGCTTTTTGGAGGGGGGAGGGGGGATAAACAGAGAATGTATAAGCAAACCTAAATTAAAAACAAAAAAGAAAAGACTTTTACAAGTCAACAAAAAGGAGTAAATGTGTTTCCTAGTGCAACTTTGCCATGGGAAGAAGGATAATAAGGATAAGAGGCTAACAATGTTCCAACATCATTATTATGAACTTGACTGGGGCCATTAGTTGAATAGTTTCTTGGTCAGCCAATAATGTATTTCACATACAAAGAATCTTTCAATCAAACAAAAAGGATTTAATGGCCACCAGACTCACCAAAATGATGCGTGAAGAAATGCTCAGAAAGACCGGATTTTGTTTCAAACATATGAATGCAAATTAGAACCCACAACAAATACAGCATTAGGCACACAATGACCTATGGTGACTAAATATTTACCCTGAGCTTAACCAAGATGGATAATGACCAAAAGGCGAATAGAACCGTCCGTATTCTCTTATCTCTAATGCATATTCACCATAGGAAGAAGAAGAATAATAATGATAATGTTCCAACATCACTATCATGAAACTAGTGTGTATTTTCTGGTCAGACAATATGCAACTTGGATTCAGTATTACTAACAAAGAACGTATCATTCACGCAACAAGATATTGGCTTTATTAGCCACTAGACTAACCCAGTAACAAAGAAATTGTGAGACATAGTCAATGGTCATTGAGTTTCGACTGGTGGAAGTCGTGAAGATGAAATCAAACGCAGCAAAAGCCATTACCAGAGCTCCGTAGTCAGCAATACGAGTAAAAAGGTAGAATTTTTTAGCAAGAAACCTGTTTATCTATCTCAGTCGGCTTCTCGGAGTCGGAAAATGAGAAATGATAATCTCCAGTGGTAAAAACCGTTTACGACGGCGAGATCTCCGTCTGGAGAAAAGAGAGCGTTTCGTCATCAGCAATTCCCGGCGGTGAAATCTCTTCATCGCCGATTGAAGTGAAAATTGGCATTCACAATTAGGGTTTCTGTACGGCCAATTGAATCTTCAGGGCCTGACACTCAAAGAGTCAAACACATATTACAAAGAACCAAAAAGTCAACCAAAGAAAAGAGAAATATGACATGATGTCAGAGCAAAATGTGGCTCGTGTTACATTTAAAAAAGAAAATTTTTTACCTTTAACATCATCGAGTTTTTGTATGTTAACTAAAAACGGGATCCCAACATTTTCATTTCCCTTTATAAAAAACTATACATTACCACAAGAAGACACACATTTCAATAGATACAGTAATTTTTTTAGTTTTCATATCAAAAATATTTAAAACCAGAATAGCAAACATACAAAGAGGGGACACGACATGTCAAAGCCACAAGAACGTTGAGTGGTTTCATATCATACTTGCAGCACACACTACCTTGCTCTGGGGATCATCACACTATCAAAGACCATGCTCACTTCAGGGGAACTAAGTGAATCCATGCCTCGACTCATATTTCCCCTCGAGTTTTCAGACACAATACACTCTTTTAATTCTATAACAACATGAGACATGGTTGGTCGTTTTGCCGAAGATGGATTTGCGCACGACATCGCCAGCTCAAGCGCTCTCCAGGCAGAGCGAGAATCATAATCCCCGTTAAGCTTTGGATCCATGATCTTAGTAATATCTCCTCCGTTAAGCTCATTCCCAACCCATTGTGTTATGTGAGAATTTCTGCGGTTTCTATCAATCACTGGTTGGTTTGTGATCATTTCCAATAACACAATCCCGAAACTGTACACGTCACTTTTCTCACCCAACCGGCTTGTCTGATAATATCTGCAAGGCAAGAACACGGCATACTCTTCAACATTGAAGAAGGAACGTACGGACTAATTTCAGCACATTGTAATGTTAACTAACAATACTTACTCGGGATCAAGGTAACCAGGAGTACCAGCAACCACCGTCGAAACATGAGATTCTCCTCCAACTGGGAATGACCTCGAGAGCCCAAAGTCAGCGAGTTTGGCCTTGTAATGCTCGTCCAACAATATGTTTGTAGTTTTGACATCTCTATGAACAATTGGCGGTGTGCATCCAATGTGTAAGTACTCCAAACCTATACAATGGATTCATCCGTACTAAATCATTATTGGAAAACCAATCAAATAAATTCCAATTCTGTGGTTTAACTTAGTACAAACCTAGTGCTGCCTCCACAGCTATTCTTAGCCGAAAACCCCAATTGATGACGGGTCTGCCTCCTTTTCCTGTGTAGTAGATCATTAGATCCTTTCATGATTTCAGGAAGAAAAACAGTTTTTTTTTTTGTGAGCTTATGATACATATGAAACCATTGGAAGATGTTACACCAAGTTTTACCTGACAGATGTTGTCTCAAGTCTCCATTAGGTACAAACTCGTAGATGAGGGCCAAATGGTCTCTTTCATCGCAATATCCAACAAGGCTAACCAAATTCGTATGGTGAACTCTCAGAAGAAGATCAACCTAATGCACTCATGCAAAGAAAAACAAGAAATCCATAAGCTTTGTGATGTTAAAAACATAGAGTAGTTGGAAAGATTGTACTACGACTACCTCTGCCTTGAACTCTTTATAGCCTTGAGCTGATGATTGAGATAGTAGTTTAACAGCTACCTGCTCAGAACCATTTACAGTAGTACCGTGACAGACGACGCCAAATCCTCCTTCCCCTACAACTCTTTCGAAATTATTTGTCATTTTCACAACTTCCGAGTAAGTAAACCTTCTCTTTTTCATCTCGATTGATGGCTCAGGTGAATTAGCATATGTAGCATTCATTGTTGGCCTACTCAGTGGCGGGTGAACAACTGTTAGTTGTTAAATAAGAATTTAGGAGTTAGCAAAAATCATATTCATGAGATTTATCAGTTTAATCATTTGATACGTCTCTCTTGCATATACCTTTAACAGTTGATGGCTTTTTCTTCCTGAAAACAAGAAAAAGAACCAGCACAACAATGAGGATGACTGCAGAACCAACTGCTGCAACAATTGGAATTAGAACGCTCTTGCCATGTCGTTTTGTTGATGTGCCAAGGGGAGACAGACTTGGGTTTCCTTGATAACTACCAGAAAACAAGTGTATTTTTAAGTCATCAAATGAGCAAAAGGGTTATGGATAATAACTGGGAAACGTTCACAAAATATGTGGACATTTCTTACTGTAGCTCGAGTCCTTTCCTTTGTAGAGATTGAGGGATCGAACCATTAAGATTGTTCCCACTTATGTTTCTGCATAAAAAAAGAAGAAGAAATCTTGATACACACATACATGAACATGATACGAGGTGGAATTTGGAAAGCATTAAAAACTTTGTTTGGGGGGGGAAACTTACATGACCAACAATGATTTCATGTTGCCTAGAAATTCTGGCACCTCTCCAGTCAAGTTATTATTCGACAAGTCCCTAAAGTTTTCAAGAGAGAATTAAATCTGAACTTACTTTTGATTTCTTTGCATACATATAACAATTTTTGGCCTTTCATCAAGAATAGACATACTTACAGTTTTTCTAGTTTCGTAAGATTTTGAATGGCAGCTGCTATGGTTCCAGTTAAACCATTCAAAGACAAGTTTCTGGTGAAAATTGCAAAACCACATTCAATAATGGTCATGGTGATTAATTACAGATCATGATGTGTGTACTAGTGAAAAATGACTTACAAAGTAGTGATTCTTGGTAACGTAGAAATATCAGTGTTGCTGCAGTCTAAGCCGTCCCACATATACTGCCGAGGGACGCATGGATCACCTTGCCAATTGATTCTACTCAATCCATAGGTGGCTTCAATATTTTTGACAGCAGTGACTGACATAAAAGTTTTGATAATGTTAGTATGCATACCAAGCATAGACCTTATATGCATAACCTTGAAACACACATACCTTCACTTTCATCTGTTTCGGACTGCGGAAACTGTATAACTCTGTAGACCTCAAAAGCATTAAGAAAAGGTGGAAGAGTTGATCTGTTGGTTTTTATGAGCTGAAAACTGCATCTCCCTTCATCACAAGTTACCGATGACGTGCTATAGATAGTATTTATCTTTGACTTTTCAGGAATTAGAGGGCCAAAAAGAAGTATTCTATTCATTAGAATGTTAAATTCTCTGGTATCATTGGTCTGAAAGTTTTGGATCTCAGCAAAGTGTCCATACAAGTAATATTCGTCTTCAGGATTTGCTGAACTCCATTCAATCGTCAATGGCGCACTGGCATTAGTAGGCGTGGCAGCAGTAGTGAGCGCAACTTTGGGTGGGTCATAGCCGTTAGAATTGCCCACATCGCTAGTGGTGGAAATTTGGGTCCACTCCGTCTTAAAATACTTAAACCATTGGCGATCGTAGACATCATCCGGGTACCTGAGGGAGGGAACAATATCATTTTTGGTCCTCTTAGCCTTTGTGAACTTATGAGAATGTTCTGTTTCATTGTTTCTCTCTTGACTTACACTTTCACTTAGCGCCTATAATTAACCCATTCGTTCACAAAATTACCCATGTTGGAAACAGAGTATACACCCGCA